AAAGAATTGAAAGAAACATGTTATTGTATTTTCTTATCTCTTCGTATTATTATTTTATAATTCTAACATCGTACTTGACAAATGAAAAACTCAATGATGAATGAATATGAAATAATATGAAAAGAAGTATAAATAATAATTCGGTAATTTTTGCTACTAACTACTGAATGAAACTTTATAAATAGGTACGTGTTGACTGGCGAGTAAACATATCAAAAATTTTATAAAACCACTTTTGAAAGTCGTTCAAAAAATAATAGTTTTCAATTAAATGCAGAACTTCACATAATTTGAATTTCTAAGTAAATAAATTCATTTCAGCGCTCTAAATTGAAAATTAGAAAATATAAAATATGAAACATCAGATAGTCTTCGAAAATACAGTCTACATTTCATTCTCTAGACGTGTGATGTTGCCAAATTCCTAAAAAATCAGATATGTTAATTATTCATACTAAGATAGTAAACATACTGTCTTTATAGATTTTCGATTTAATTCGAAAGAAATAAGCACATTCAAGTTTTTGTCCCCTACTGAATATAGTTTCTGAACCGCCTTCCATAGAGCCCCGCATGACCGAGTCGCAATAGTTCAAAAAGAGAAATAGATTTTTGGGGGGACCTTTGAGTATTCCTGCATATGAATTAAATCAAGTAAGGCAATGGCGCCGTAAACTCAGAATTAAGTTGTAGATCTTCAACACAAAAATTAACCGAAATGTATTCTTCATCTTGACTATCTCAGTTCTAAATAAATCAAGAACCAGTAGCTTAATCTGCTATAGTTATAACATTTATAAGTAGCTCGTTTTCAACGCTTAATCTGGAGTCGCCACTTAATTTCCGGATAATCTCAATAGCGTGGTAACCTTGCCTCTAACAAATCGAAAAGTGCAATTAAATGTACCAAAAATAGTAACATTTGTTCCGTCTAATCAAAAAAGCAATTTCGCCAACATAATAGGCCTGTTGTGAAGGGCCCTCGCACTCACATACTGTTGGGAAAAGTTGGTCCCTTTTCGAATGGTTTTGCCGTTTGGCTTGTCGTCAAGTACAGTCGACCGAAAAGCTGTCACTTTTTTATTGACCCTAAGAAAGAAATATGGATTCACGGAAACTTACTTACTTAGCAAGAAAATGGAAAAAAGCTGCTACCGGAAAACTCCGAATGAAGAGGTTTTCGTCGTGCTCGGCTGACCGGAAATAAAACTTTTTACAAGATTGGATTTTTTCTTATTACGACTTTCTCGAGCATTCAATCTTTATTCGTTGACTGGGTCGCTCCCTTGGGATAAATCTTTCTGCTCCGCTGGAAAATCTTTAAGGTGAAACTGCAGAAATTCGTAGCCACTATCTAGCAATAAACTTTTAAATTTAACTGGACCTTTTTAGTTGCAACCCGTTGAGCTATTATTTGAAGTACTTACAGCAAACTTCAATTTTGAGCTCAGTTTTTAATGCTTGTAATATTTTTTGGAATTTTTAAAATTACACTTTCTCCATTTTTATTGCTTTCAAGTGTAAAATTAATTTACCTATAAAATTCCACCAGTTAAGGAAGTAGAATCATTGGAGCTGATCTTCACACGTTATGCACTATGAATGTAGCGAAATATGACTTATTTTACAAGTAACATTTTATCTAGCATATGCTGTTTTATATTCAGAACTTCCTTAGTGAACATTTGTACGCCTTTACAAAGCTTTTCTTTGAAACAATTTTTACACGGCAATCCGAATACTTCTTTCAAGTAATATGTATTTTGAAATAGACTTTACAATAATTTCTCTCTTAACAGAACAAGTTCTTAACAAGAAAATCAAGAAAATTTGAAGTATTTTGAGCCTCATGAAAAGATATTCAGAAATTGTTCGCTGACAACCTATTTTTAAATGGAATATTAGACTAATGGTAAAATTAATGTTCAAAACGGTTCCCATAATATGTGGAACTCTACTGATTTACATTATTATACTAAAGGTACAATTATTATGGATTCTTGAAATGGAATTTCAGTTTTTCCTATACAATTAAAGCAACTGTGCGTGCTCATAACATGATGGAAACCGTTTTCCATAAATCCTGTCTTTACTTAGTCTGTAGAGCTTTGAAATATTATCCAAAATTAAGTTGTATTTGTGTAGGTTCGGACCTTAAATTTCATATTGTATTTGTTGGCTTTGCTCAAAGAAAATATCTATTGTCTTTGTAGTAAACCTTTAAGGCCCCGTTTTATCACAATGCTCTAAAGTGGCATAACGGTAGAAGAATGAATACTTGAAGCTTATAAAAACAATGGGAAAAACATAAAAACTGTTCGTTGCTTCTTTTATACCTTTCTGTGCCATTATGGAACTGATACTTTCTTATTAGTCCTTGCTTCCGAATGTTTCCATAGTCTTAAATAAGCATACATATAAAAATAACTAGCTTGTCCCCCATTTGCTCCAAACAATCGGTCGGCAAAGCAAACTCTTTAATCAAACTAGTTACTTAAATTTAAAGTTCTAATCATCACTGATAGCTGCTAAACAGTGCATTTAGTTAAACCGTGTTTTTGTTTATCCCCTAACCCACTGTCTTAAAGTCGAGTCAATTAATTTCTCTCCTGGATTTGAAGCAAATTTTCGGCAACGCAGCTCCATCCTGCAGCTCGACAGCAGGAGCGAATTTAAATGAGTATTTTCCGAGCAGATGGGTCCAGGAATGGAGATATTAGCTTGTAATTACGTTAAGTTTACATGGAGCGATTACCGCGACAGTTTTAATAATGATTAATAGAAAGACGGTGTCGCATTTTGGGCACGCACATTTTCTTGCTTTTTTAATAACAGAATATTTTTATTCCATAGCCGATATTTATCTTATGTACCTATACTTACCATTTAATCATGAAATTGGGTTCTCTCACATTATAATTGGGTATCTATGTGGTGAATTGACTTTTGTGGCCCCAGTCATCATCATGAGAAACTACCCATGTCACCGAAAGACATAGAGAATATAATAATACCGCACAATCTAAATGGCAAATAGGAAAATATTATACATATATTATTATAAGAAAGGCACCGTAAATTTTAATTATTTGGTCCCATGATCACCTGCGCGACTATCGCAGTCATTTCAAAGCTCAAAGCAGAAATTGCAACTTTTAAGAAGAGGTAAGGCGAAAGAAACTACAAGAATAAAAATTTTTAAGAAAGAAAATAAAAAGATATCGATATTTTCTGTCGTAATGCGTTAGGTTGATTTAGAGAACCGATTTAGAGACGACCGTTAGGTTGATTTAGAGAACGTTTTGGAAAACTTTTCAGTTTGTTATGCAAATTCTACTTTGCAACTCCGGATATTTTGTATCTTGCTCTAACTTTTCTGTGTATTTTTAACATCTGATGTTAAAACTTTTACAATGGAAGCTTTTCTTCTACCTGAATTCGCCGATTTGTGGTAATTTGTTTAAACATAGGATTTCGAATTTTTTTTTAAGGTTTCATGGGTGATCAACCGATGACTGAATGTGGGTGGCAATTGGGAACTAAGACATATATAATTGAATAACATATTTGAAGTTTAAACGTTGAGGGTAGATGTTTAAATACCTAAGTTTCGTTCAGATTTGCTTCAGAAACAATGTTTCTCAAAGCAACGATTTAAAAGTCTATACTACCAGTAGATAACATAGGAGCTTTTAATCAGGCAAGAAAGCTCATTGTTAAACTCTATATACTCAAACATTTTGAATAGATAATTGAGGACTTGTTTCTTTTGAAGTTTCTTCTGTTTGAAATTATTTTTATTTTTATGCCAAACATTTGATAAACGTCTCATCGAATGTCGACGTATACGAAAGAAGGGAGGTCCAACTCTATTAGTTTAATTTGCATTCAAGGAATAATAGATTACAAATCTTGAACTTTTTTCTATAACGCTATAGAAACTGCAAATGAGACCATGTGAGAAGCTGGGAACTCAAAATAAAGTGAAGAAAAAATGGTTCAAATACGTGTTAGTGTGAACCCAATGACCAGTTTCTAAAATTTTTGCAGTTTTAACTCCTATATACCCAGTGTTGTTGATACGTTTCAAACTCAATCTGGCGGTTTGATTTTCGCTTTCTCCTTCCACATCTCCGACTAATCATTTAAAAACCGACTGGCCGACATGACATGATTTCGTGTGAGGGTCAAATATATTTTCTGTCAGGCTTTTGAAGCAGGCTCGCATGCCGACCAATTATATTTGGGGCCTGTGGGTTTATCCCATCGCCATGTTGCCAACCAGACTGCCGTCGAAGGGGGAAATATTAAATTAAGTTTCAGGTCATTTTCCAAATTCACAACAGATATTTTCTATTTGTTTTGAATATTATTAGATGTAAGTATTAAAAAAGGGGTTGATGAATAAACTACAAACTATAGTTGTATTTGTCCATCAACCCCCCCTGAAGAGGTAAATGCTTTGATCAAATATTCTCTATAAACAAATTAAATTAGGTTCTAATCAAGATATCGACTGTCCGGTCTATACCAGTGGAGATTGAAATTAGCTTAATATCTTTTATCGGCAATGATTGGCAAAAGCCCAGATTCAAACAACCCAACAATGCAGACAGGCCACTTGTAGTTCAAAGACTCCAAAGATAAATGAACTTGATTAAAATGTGTTTAAGTGAGTTGGACAAGAGTATTAACCTGCTTAATAGATTTAATAGATTTTTTCAATGTCGTCAGCAACACTACCGCGTTTGCTGTCAATGGATGCGTTGTAATTTATGACGATGAGTCAGTACTATTTTCTTTCATGGTGTTTGATTTGTATATACCACTTTCGACTTCAGTAAGATTGAATTGTCTTCAGTTTTGTTCTACCAACCGGAACTTGGCCGGTGAATATTTATTAGTTGCAGTTGAAAATTAGGTGATAGTTAAAACTTAGAGAAAAAAATGAGAAATGTGGGGAAAGTTTTGGTATAGGATTTTTCAATTGAAAACACATATTGCCCTTATATATGTGTTTATTTCTAATAAGAATATGTACAATTAAATATTTACCATTATCATACATTAAAAAAATCACACGGCCTTCACTAACTTACAACTGATTTCATGGTTTCATTTTACAATAGCCAATACAGTATAGTATGATACAATTATGCTCAGCGAATTCATAAGGTATTTACAATATACAGACACTTCTTTGTGGCGCTAACTGTGAAAATAGTCAATGCTCAGTCGATGAGAATTAAGGAGGAAATTGCGCATTTGTCAATTTTTTAAATATAAAATCTACTAACAATAGTTACTTAAACGTAAAATGGAAAGCTCCTTTATTTGGAAAGGTTGATGTCAAATACAATGAAACGTGAATAAAGAGCGAATCCAAATAGAGCTCATCCAGCAAGCTCATAAGCGAATCCTGTTTAACTGAATAAAAATCAGACTTTCAGTTGGCGTAGGTTTGAAGGCCAAGCTTGAAGAAAGCTTGCCCAAAAGCGGTTTTATAGGGCAGAAGGAAGACAACAAAAATGTCAACACGTAGTTCGAAGCTTCAAAGAGTCGCATTTAATGACCAACTCACTACAATTTTCCTAAGAAATTTATCTAAGTGCTAAAAGTAAATTTGGTACGTGTGATACTAGAACGAAAATATTTAAAACTCAAATCCTTTATATAATGCACAGACGTCCCACTTTGTTAGATGGATTTGAGCAGGCAGCTGCTTTTCGTGTCGTGCATTAAGACTTAAGACCCTGTTCCATACTACTGGGTAGAACTCTACCGGATTTTGCACGCGCTGTGAAAATGAAAAGTACTAAATAAGCATTCGTAACGCTGTATTGACCGGATAGGTCGGAATAAAATTAAATTCAGCAAGCGGAACGCTATTGGACAATAGTCTGGCCACCCAAATGGCCAAGTCTTCATCCATTGAATTTCAAAATTTGCGGAATCATAAGACTTGCTTTATAACCTACGCTTACTTTATGACAATTACGTATTAACAAGTGACAAATTTGTTGTAAAGATTTAGTAAGCTTGCATACGATGTGGCAAAATCCAATTAAAAAAATTGCTTAGATAAATTTATTTTTGACCTACCTGTTGTTGAAATTTATAGAGGCAGATTATCATTCCATTCCCTACATTTTCTTTAACTTTCATTTTAATTTTATGTTGCTGTTTTCGAACGCCATTGAGTAAATCTGTTATTATTTGTGATTCGTAGTAAGTATAGTTTTATTATCGTGAAAAACTCGTTTGGAATCTTTCTTCATTTGCATATTTTGAAGGAAAAGAAAAATCTGAAACCTATTTCTACTGAATGAAACGAGCCACGTTGTTTTTTCAATTGTCCAATTACGTGTTAGTATGTGCGTCACAATTATTTTTTTACATTTTCGTAATTTAGCGATTTATAAAGCAATTATGACTATTAAACTGCACTTAAAGAAACATCGACACTGTTACCTCCAAATGATTCTTTTATCCAGCTATTGTTTACAAGACTGTTCCATTAATCACATTATTTGTTGATAGATAAACTGATCCGAATTTGTTCATTAGCGAGCCTTATACCCCGTTTACGGTTTTTCTTATAACATGGGTAGTCATTCATTTCCCTCACAGGGAATTAGCGTTGGTAACGACTTGTTTTTTTGGTCTGCTTCTTTACGTACAATTTGTCAGCACCTTACTTTGTCAAAAACTGAAAATGCGAGTTCGTTCAAACCAGAAATTTGCGAATTACTAGCCGTTGCTAATCAAACATCAGGCTTTGATTTGGTTAGTAGTGGAAAAAGGGAGTTTTTACTTACAAAAGTGAACATGTTTATATCTGACTGAAGAAGAAGCAGCTTTTACGTCGATAATGCGGTTCGGTAATTTAGGTTCGACACACAGCTGACTGGCAAAAAATGATTACTTTCCTCAGGTAATCCCGTTGTCATGCTTAGTAGTGGAATTAAAATGGGCTGTAAAATGTAATAAATTGGACATTATTGTTGAGGATTAATACGTCCTTAATAGCTCTTATATAGCAACTTTTCCAAATAAATTAAAGTCGGGAAACAATTCGCAGATTATTTGCAAAATAAGTTGCAAAACTGATAAAATTGACCAGTTGAGTTATGCGTCCTCACTAAATAGTCCATCAGAATAGCTTTAAATCAAACAGCCCTGTATATACAACCATACCGTCATCATATAACTATTTGTTCAATTATTTCTTGTCGAAAACATTCTATTCTTTAATACGGGTAAGATAATATAACGTTGGGAACACCCGCAGAGTCTAATAACCATACCATAGAGATGGAAGATAACTGTAACTGGCGTTTGCAATTCATTGTAAATGCATAATATGGAAATCAATAACGCGTGCAACGATCACAATATTACGATTTACGCATTGGTTTCTTTCGCGGCGCAATTTATATATATGGAATAAACTACAGACATACAATAAGCAAGTTAAACACTTTAAACACTACATCTAAAAATATCACTAATCAGTATGAGCTAGCTAAGCCTGCAAATTGTGTTTAATTGTTGGCTGATCACCTCAAAAAGTTCGTAGTTTTATCTTTTGGTGCATGTGACAAGACAGGAATTCTGTGCTGATTTTCAAAAATGTTGGTGGTTACTTATGTTTTCACAAAGTACGGTAAAAAAAATAGCAATTTTCTATTAGGTATGTGTCAATGTTCATTACATGGTTAATGTGTGAAGGTTTCAAAAAATAATGGTCCTGTTTTATTCTGCAAAATAAATAGTTTGCTCCGAATTGTATGTATGGTCAATCACTAACTACAATTGCGTTTAGTAATGACAATCGTAAGTCTTCTACTACTTTCAGTGGTGATCAAGGCTCGATAGAATTGCCGATATCAACGTGCATTTTTGCATTTTTGCAAAATAAGTGGTTTTGGCATTAGAAGACTATCTATAGCTGGGTTAGCTATAAACTTCTTTAAATCTTGAATATTTTGGTCAGAGTTTTCCCTAAATTTGAAGGTTTATCTTTAGTTTCCAAGACTTGCTGATAAAAGATTAAAGACATCCATTTAAGTCAGTTGTGTAGTGTACTATTTTTTAGTTAACAACGAAAAGTTCGTGTCTCTTGTAACTCCCTCAACTTTTTTTTTCAATATAGTCGTCTTACAATTGAATTTATCGGTTGTGAATAATATTCACCTGAACCAAATTAAATTCCATAACAGTAAGGACTTTGTATGGCTTACTTTTTCAGAGCTGTTCCAATAAATTGGACCAAATCACCGACGGCAGAAGTAAACACATGTAAAATAATTTGCATGTTAATGCAATATTTAAAAACGGTAATAAATTATAGTTTATTGATATCGATACTGAAGCAAAATTAAATCATATTGGAACAGGAAGTATTCGACTGGAAACCGAACTTTCCCTAAATACACGAGGCTCATTATACCTATTATGTGATATATCGTGTAACCTAGCCCGAGATTCAATTAATTAATCATCCTACTAAATGTTTCATGAAATTCGGTTCTGGTTTGAATACGGGAAATTGAATGAAATTATTCAAATGCTGTCCGGCATACATGATTTCACATATGGAAATATAATTATATATATAATTTAGGTTTTAAAAATTAGCAATATTACCTGTTTGTTTCGTTAAATGTTAATCTTGCCGGCAAGGCCCGGTTTTCAAACATAGTTCGATTGAAGAACTGTTAACACAAATCTAGAAAGCAGGTAACGTATGTAAATCTTGATTAATTACCATCAAAGAGAATTAACAGCTTTGGCACGGAAAATGCCTTCAAAGCACTTAAATCAGAGACAGAACAATTCATTTATTAGTTCTGAAACTGTAAGAAAGTATACTTGTTCGCCAAGCAGACTTAGATGATCAACTCGGAAAGGCAATTTAACTTCACTAATAAAAATATAATCGTTCATAAGTCATAGCCTCTGATAGTGCGGGAATTGGCACTGAAAGTATCCTAATCAATTTCAGCAGGGACTGAAGCTCATCCGGTTAAAATTTTCCAAGCAATGGCCGAATCATCACGTTCTTTGATAGTCAATATCCTTCAATAAATTGTCTGGAGAAAACTAGAACACTGCAGGGGAGCCTAGATCTAAAACCTACCGTAGAAGCCTTTACCCTGCCGTGGATAATTCAGTACCAATTGAACAACATCGGACTTGCTGATGACTAATTATGCAGATATTTTGGCAAATAATACACTATTTTTTCATTGTCCGGTGGTTATTCATTTCAATCGAGATACTACGGAAGATTTATTCCTTTTTTACTGGGATAGAAATCTCACCGGAGCTCACACGAAACATGGAAACTATACACAAAGAACTTTTGAGTGTCTACCTGCTGTTCTGAAAACGCGCTTTTATTATATAGATGGGTAAAAAATAATAATTAAATGTTCCTTTTGTGTTCTAGTCGTGCAAGCAGAGTTCGGTTTGATCCAATATTTAGGTGGGTGAAATAATTGAGCAAAATTCTACTAATTTTCAATCCGAACTATATTCACTTTGTAATTCGGGTTGCTTAAAATTAACTAAATGTTTTTTGGTATTCACATGTTTCTAATCAATTTTAAACTCGCAACAGACAACGTATTTAAATCCTCATCGATTTTCATCGACAAGAGCCAATTGGATGCAAACTGTTAAGTCACCAGTGTCAAACTATTAAATTCACTTAGCATTTAAAACCACAAGCATCACAACACATTTCTCTTCTGTTACACTATTAAAAATTAACCTTGTTGGGCAAGTAATAAATCAATTTCACTACGAAACTACAACCATACAATATTTAATTTGCCTAAAAATTCCCCAAAGAAAACATGGCAACTTGAATGAACGAATTTAAAATTACTGCTTAAAATTAAACTCTACAAATCTATAACTGAACAATGTCTTTCATCATTATTTCAATCAGTTTATCTAAAAAGTAAACATATAATCAAACCATTCACCCTAAGACTCAGCTACGATCTGACCAACGAAACGTACATATTAACATCACCCATATTGTTTAATTAATTTGTAGCTTTGCCAGCTCTCCTACCCTTACAATGCAGTCAAGTCGTAATCCGGTTTAATAACTGGCGGCGTGCCTCCGCAGCCTGGGGGCGAAGAAAGGGGAGCCATAGTGGGACCCCCTAAGGAACCACCCATGTGGCTCATCGACGAGTCCATAAGGGGGTTGTTATGATGGAGAGAAGAGCTCATGGGGTGGGCATGTGAGTGACCTGAAATCGAGGTGGGCATTTGGTGGGTCGTCAACGACATGCCTAGCATATGATCACCCAGACCGTCGATTGGCTCTCTGAAAAAACGAGAAAAAATATTACTATGCCATCGGCTAATAATACTTTATCGCACGATAAATGGTTTGGTTTAAACTCGATTAAAGTGCAAAGAGTAAACTATCAGGATATGAACAATATCTGGAGAGACTGAATGCATAATATTTGTAGTTAGTGCACTAGGGCTACTTGCAGATTTTTTAATTTTTTGTTTGAAATAATTGATGGGGCTTTTTATTGATAACTTGTTAAAAGCTTTTATTAGCATTAGGAGATTCAAAAATAAATATTGAAACTGGTAGGTGTTAATTGAAAGGGGAGTGGAAGCAGGTGTTACCTATGTACACAAATTTTGCAACAATATATTTTTATTCAGTCGAGAAGGCTATCGACCATTGCGGTCTTTTCGCCGAAAACATTTATTTTGACCAACATTAGATTAAAGTTAATTTACTGGCAAACTTGACCAATTTTTTTCATTGATAATTGTCTTATAACATTCGGTGGCAGTTTTTAAACTTTAAAACTAGTTCTTTCCTATTTTTTTGATTACAAAAAACTTTTTTTATTTTTTACAAACTTCTTTTTGGGTATTTCGCCTCAAAAATTTTTGTCTTTAAAAAAGACAGAATTTCCTCAAGTCTTTTATTACAGATTGATAAATAGTGCTCCTATTT